TAAGGTTTTGAGTGACACCAGCAGTTCGATCACCCGCCGTACAGCCCCGATCTCGCACCTTCTGACTACCACTTGTTCTTGAACTTGAAGCGTGATTTGGAGGAAGGCGCTGTGACAGCGATGAGGACGTACAAAACGGTGTTCAGAAGTGGCTATCTTCACTGGCGGCATCTTTCTATGAAAAGGGCATAGAAAAGTTGGTTTCCCGCTACGACAAATGTTTGAACAATGGTGGCAACTATGTTGAAAAATAGTTTAAGAAATGCTCTTTAATGTGAAAATAAAATTAGTTTTGAAAAAATTGTTTTGATGTGTTTTTTTCCAAAACGGTACTTAGTTTACGGACAAGCCTCGTACGTTTGAATTTTTGGAGAGATCATACACTTAATACACACACACGCGTTCGCACACACGCAAGCACGCTGCACGCTGCACGCACACGCACACGCATCCGCGCTCGCACGCACGCTGCACACACACGCACACGCACACGCGCAGGCACGCGTGCGCAGACGCACATGTGCGCACACGCGTAACCACAATAAACGCATATACTGCGACGTTTTTATTTTTCTCTTCCATCCTCCCGTTACCCGTGGACGGACGTGCGTTGCCGTCCCATTCTCGCTGTCGCGCGCGGGTCTTAGTCGGTGGTGCGCGCCAACGACGGGAGTGCGGTCGCCGGGCGCGAGAAGCGCGGGATGCGGACGGATCGAGACGTCGGCAAAAACCAAGGGGGAAGGAATCCCGCGGGAAAATGATAACGCGCCTGGAAGGAACAGGATCTCGGTAGCTCCGCGCGTACCGTGCCGAAAGCCGAAGGTTCGACGCGATAAACGAAGATTGGGCGCCAGACGCGGTCTTTCACGCGTCACGTCGCGATATCCGCGAAATTGCGCGAACGATAGATATCGGCCTTCGTCACGGGCAGGCTAGCTCGCCTAACGGTAGAGGGGCTGGGCGGTGGTTGACACCAAAAGATTCCAGAGGCTACGGGACTTAATTAATTCTCACGACGGACGAGACACACGAAGAGAGACGTACACAAAAAGAAACTCGCAAAATAAAATAAATAAAATCGGGTTTATTACAAGGCGGTGAAGCCGGTTAAGTGGCCACAGTAACGGGCGGCATCGTCGGTGATAATCGTACTGGCCCCGAGACCGGGGGAGTAATTCGGTACGAAACTAAGCAATCCGGCGCGAACCCAACGACAGAAATGATCCCCGTACACGATAAACCCTACTCGAAAGACACGGACGCGTTCGACAATGACCTCTTCGCGAACGGTACGAATACCGTCGCACACGCGACACTCGGCCGGGGCGCTTCGCCCGCGAGACTGGGTACTCGGGCCGACGGATCGGTCCGCCTTACAACGACGTGCAACTCTACGCCGGGCAGTCCACGACGGCTAACTACGACGAGCCTTTCGCTCTCTCCCGGCCGCGCCGGCCGCGTTGGTCGGCAGGTCTCGCTCAGGACGCGCCGCCCGCACGAAACCAACCACCGACGGCGGCGGAAGCGGCACGGGGTACCGCAGACACTCACACAGCCGTTCGCAATTTCTCGGTCGCCACGGCTCTACGGCGACGTACCCTCACGCCACGCATGCACGCGACATCCCCGCGGCATGCGTACCCTTTTTTTTTGTTCCGAGAGAGGGAAAAAACGCATTTACGCGTACCATCAGGGCCGGATCCTGGACGGTTATGCTGGGCTCTCCCGAGAAGCGGGAATACCAGCTAAAAAAACCCTCTCTTTGGACCATCCCCGCACTATAGACGAGCCGCCCCTGGTACCGCCTACGAAGGCATTCGTCAGGAGCGACCCGCCCAAACAGTGCTGGGCTTGATAACCCACTACAAAGGCGGCTAACGCAGTATCCGACGCCCTTTCCTCCAAGAGAAAAGGACGACGGTGTGTGGATGGTCCACGCGACAAATAACAACCAAAGCCGATTAATACAACCATAAATCATGGAAAACCCATAAATCTAATGCAATTCGGCTGGTGTCTCCCCCCTTTTTAGGTGTGTACGATACATGACGATACATGACGTGGACAACCTATATACAACACAGCTGCCACAATTAGAACATACGACAACCCCGTAAAAACAACAACACGAGGCACGCCATAGAAGCAGGCAGCAACGGCACAACAGCGGTACGTGTGAAGCTATTATAATCATTCCATAGCCCGATCGAATCGAGAGACACGCACGCTCGAAGAAGTCACCGTCTAACGCATTTTGAAGAAACGCGCCAGACAAACAGGCTGCGCAGCCCGCAAGCGCAGTCGGCAATTACGTCTCTTTGAGCTGGCATAACAATGCGAGCCCGGTGTTACAGTTGCGTTTAGACCTCTGCGCAGGCGTCTCGTGCTTCAGAATTCAAATAACTCTTAGTGCACGATGGGCAAGCTTCCCGCCATCTTTAAAGAAAGAGAGCCCGCCGTGCATAAATCCTCCTCAACTAACTCGGGATTAAAGCCCAGGATCCCGGCTCGTAGCACGGTCTGACAAGACACTGTATATACATGTATATATTAGAAAAGCAGCGAACAACATTGGTCGATTAGATGTACCCTAGGCCAGCACATCAATCGACAAGAAAAAACTATTGATTAGAAGTAGGCCGAGCCAATGAAATAACGCGAAGAACGTAAAACATCTTAATTCTAAAGAGTAGTAGTTGTACCAAAACTAACGATAGAACAAACGGCGCTTGGAAACGCAACACGAGCGCACTTAGGCTAAGGAACCGCAATACTAATATATGGACGCATAGGTGCTAACGCACACTAAGCATATATCTTTAGACTACAATAGTTAAGAGCCACGCAAAGAAAGGGGACGTGAATATATTTAACTTGAGAGGCCAGTATACGTCAGTGAGCGCACGGACAATTCACTCTAAATCAATGTTATCATAGCCATCGATGTAAAACCACAAAACGCAAATGCCCCAGGCATTTATTTCAGTGGAGTTAAAGCACTATTATTTCCATTAGAACCAACGTCATTTCTCCTCATACGCTTTCTCTCTCTCTCGGCATTTTCCTTAGACAGCATTACCGAGGTGCAGAAGTGTGAGAACGCAAACCAGCACTCCTTATTCCTAAGAATAGCTGCAACCACAGATCCAAGCGTTAAAATGTCCACATCCAGAGCCAGCAGAAGACTCGCACGTTCCTCGTCCCAACTTGAACAGTCGGAGAGTGTATGATCCGCGGTGTCCTCCGCAATGCCGCAATGTGCGCACGTAGGGTCATCTATCTTGCCGATTTTATGCAGGAAAGACCCAAAACATCCATGACCCGACATAATTTGAGTCATGTGGAAGTGAGACATGCCCCACCCCCTGTCAAATCACCGGGACCACATGGGGGCAATCGCCTTCCTTGTTCGGAGGCCCGGAGGGTCCTCCCTTTCTGCTACAGCTTGCCACTGACGCATGGTGAGGACGCGTTCTTCGCAGCGAATCTCTTTAAGGGTCTTTTGATCCAACAACCCGGCCTCGCGTAGGTCGCATCGTCTCCGGTAGATTCTTCTTCGGTCCAACGCCAGTAGACGCCACGGAACCTGTCTAGATATTAGAGAAGCAGCATCGAACGAGACCGTACGATAAGCGGCACACACGCGGATCGCTATGGATCTCTGCGTGGCCTGGAAAACATTCATGCCCTTTCTAGAGTTCATCAAAGCCTCGCACCATATAGGGGCACCATAGAGAGCAACCGAGGCCAAAACATTGGCGTACAATTTTCTTTTGTTTTCACGAGGACCTCTAAGATTCGGCATCAAGCCGTGGAGTGCCCGCGAAATATTAGTAACTTTTAGGCAAACTTTATTGAAGTGTTCTACAAATGTAAGCTGAGAATCCAAGGTAACCCCAAGGTATTTAATCGCGGGCGACATCCCGATCAGTGCCGCTTTCACCCGGACAACAGGGTCGGGAGGGATTTTGAGGCCTTTCCTCCTGAACAAGACGGCCATCGTCTGGGCCGCGACAACCAGACCTAACGCGTCCATTCTCCTTAGTACACCCGATATCTGGTCGTTGATCCTTGAGCGCATCAGTTCCATCGATCGAGCCGATCCCACAATCAGAGTGTCGTCGGCATAGCAGAACACCGCGCAGCCAGGCTTGGGTCTGACTTCCAAAATATAGTTAAAGGCGATGTTCCATAATACCGGGCCCAGAACTGAGCCTTGAGGAACCCCGCATGTAACCTGCCTCGACTCAATAGAGCCGCTGATGGTTGGGTATTCAACGTATCTTATGTGGAGATAATCGTCCAGGATACGGCGCAAGTAGTCCGGAAATCCCTTCCGCTCCAGGGCCCAGCGAATGGTTCCCCACGGGAGCGAGTTAAAGGCATTCTATATATCGAGACTGACAGCTATCGCGAACCCTTCGACTCCAAGCCATGACGGACCACGTCAAGAACGGCCTCGAGGGCATCAATCGTGGAGCGCCCCTCTCTAAAACCGAACTGAAATGAGGACAGTTTGGCGTCAGGTGATGCTTCCATATGTGCCTTAAGTCTATTGACAATTATGACTTCAAAGATTTTTCCTGCCTCATCTAACAGACAAATAGGTCTGGCTTTTATCCGCGTGCCCACCGAATCCTTGGGAATCAGTACTAGCCTTGCCAGTTTCCAGATGGTGGGAAATACTCCGCATCTAAGGCATGAATTAAATACTACGGTTAAGCGCTTTGCGGCAATCTCGGCAGCTTTACTCCATGCGATCCTACCGAGTCCATCCGGGCCGGGAGCAAGACTGCTTTTTTTCTTATTACGACGGATTGCTCCAAATACCTCCATAACATCTACCTGATCATCAACGGAGAAGGAGCATCCGTTTCTCCATATCTCGGTTGGAGAGTGCGTCTCTCCTGGTGGAAAGAGAGAATCAAGCAACTCACCCAGGGCGTCCGGCTCTAAAGTCTCCGAGAGAGCAGGGGAAGCTCTTCTTAATCGCCCCATAACCAATTTATATGGTAGCCCCCATGGGTCGTCGTCTACACTGCGTATTAGCTCCTTCCATGATCTAACTTTGGAGCGTTGAATTGCCTTTTTAAGGGCTCTCTTTGCATCCCGGTAACTCGATTCCAAGACCCGACGTTCCTCTCCTGAGTGGTTACGCCCTATTCTGGAAAATTTCCTGCGGGCTCCCGTGCAAACACGTCTGAGATTCGCAATCTCCTCGTTCTACCAATAGACAGCACGCCTCGGCGCTCTAAGGCCGGACCTGCGCGCCGCCACGTCACAAGCATTAGACATATATCCACAAACCGCCGCAGCCAAGCTCTCCGGTGAGCCATCCTCCGATATACCAGAGCTCAAAAATTCGAACGTAGAGCATAAAAGGTCCTCATCCAGTCCGGCGAACGACCAGCGAGGATACACTCGGGATACAAGGCCAGCGACCGTCCTCACATCGCCCGTTTCGAACGAGAAAAGGATCGCCCTGTGGTCCGACAGGGTCTCCATGCTCCAGTTCACGTGCCAGTTCATAACGCGGCCGACGCACGCGGAGGAGGTCCAGGTAAGGTCAACCACGGATGAACCCTGTGGCCGGACACACGTCGGCGTGTCTCCTCGATTCAACAAAGCCAAGTCAAACTGGTCCGCCAAGCCTACAAAAATCTTACCGCGCCGATTCGACACCGCTGCTCCCCACATGGTCGATTTTGCATTGAAATCACCACATACAATGACAGGACCGGCGGACATCCGAATTGCATCGCAGAGACGATCCGCAAAACTGAGAAAAGTAGCCGTCGAGATATTCGGTGAAATATATACCGAAATTATGTACAAGTCTTTAATTAGGACGCCAACGATGTTATCGGACCGATAGAAAACAGAGCATCCCGGGCCAGCGAAGTCCGGATTAAACACAATAGACGTAGAAGCGTCTGCGCTAGAGAACCAATATGGATGGTTCGTCGGGACTTTCCAGGGCTCCGAAAAACAGCAAACGCCGATTTTATTTTCGACAGCAAATTGGCTCATAAGATCCTGAGCCGCCCGGCAGTGGTTCAGATTAATTTGAAGAAATTTAATTTTCCTTATTATTTGCAGGCTCCGTCTTCCGGACACGGGAATAGGAACTCGTACAGGCGTTAGAGCCTATCCTATGGCTAGGGTCGATACCTCGGTCAGCACATACGACGCAGTGTGATTGCGCTGAGCAATCCTTGGAAAAGTGACCAGCCTGTCCACAGTTGAAGCAGGCCGTTTCTATGCTGGACCGCGATTGGCAGTTGCCCACAACGTGTCCGAACTCCCAGCAGCGGAAGCATTGGACCGGACGGGATCTCATCAGTGAAACCCTGGCCGTCGTCGTCCAGCCGACGACAATTGAGCCCACGGTGGCCAGAAGATTTGCGGCCCACAGAGGGCACTGCACCCATACAGAGCGCAGGCCGTTGGGTGCTGTCCTAAAAGGGCTCACCTTGACATCCCTTTCAAGGTATCCAGCCGCAGCCATAAGGGAGGCCCTGAGCTCGTCCAGTGAGACGGTATTGTAAGGATATTACTAAGGAAATCAGGTGGGGCGGTTCGGAACCGAGAGATCCAGTTTAATTCGTAGCACTTGATAAACTATGTATATATATTTAAACAAATAAATTGAACAGTTACAATGAGTTTACAGATTCAACTTTACACCGACACTAAGACGACGGATTCTCAAGACTCGCGCGCGAGACTAATTTCGATCAGATGACTCTCGAGATTCTCCTTGCTTCTGCTTGCTTCCGCTCGGAATCTCTTCTCGGAGGAGAGTGAATCCCTTTTCGCGCGCGTGGAGCCCGTGCGCTCGCTCCGCGTCGCCGCGCATGCGTTCTCGTGCCGCCCGCTAAGAGGGGCCGCTCGGACCGCGCTGGTGGCGCGCCGCGCGCTCAGCTGTGCCGCCGCGGCGCGCAGGCGCGTTACTGCCCGATACCTTACAGTTCGGCCCTCCTGGCCTGCAACTTCGTCTCGAAGTTGCTGCGCACACGCCAGTGGTTCTCCGCCTCGGATCGGCTATTCGCAGGGTAAGGTAAGTACACTTTATTTTATTACATCCGCGCGTTGCGTATCCAGTCCAGTATCTGTTCGCGGTCTCGTTTGTCGAGTTACGCAGTCTTGTACATTTACTTCCGCAATTTACGTATACAATTTACTTATAATTAGAGATGTTCCTGACTCGCAAGAGCCGAATGAGTGCCTCTATCGAGACTCTCAGTCCCGTATCCATCCTTTCGAGGTTTCGTTCTCTTGCGACTCAGGTTACATTACGTTCCGTTCCTAATCTAGCGCGTATCTATTTTCCGTCGTTTTTCGGTACAGGGTCGCCGATCCTGATCCAGGGCTTAAGCCGGTCGGACGATAGGATAGTGTTCAAGGGCTTTTGAGTGAGGCTGAATCCAGGTACGTCTTTTACTACGTAGCGGTTATGCCCTAACACCTTCGCTATTTGATACGGGCCCTTGTAACCGGGTTTTATCTTCGCGCTTTCCCCGGGTTTATTCCGGTCGTTTTTTATTAGCACGTACTCGCCGTCGCGGTATACCGAAGGTTTTTTATGTCGGCTATCCCAATATTTTTTATTTTATATTCCCTTACTAGGTTCGTTGCGGCCTGTGCTGAATAGCGTTTAATTTCTCTTTCCTTTTCCAGGTCAGATTCGACTTCCGCCAACGCACTGGTGAGCTGCGCAAGCGCGAAGTCTGAATGATTGCGTTGGTCGAATCCCAGCATTAGCTTCACCGGAGTTGCTTTTATGCTCGAATGATGAGTATTGTTTAGAATGTATTGTATTTTACCGAGGTGGGTTTTCCATTCGGCCGGTTCTACAATGGATTTAATCAACGACGTTTTAATGAACCTATTTACTCGTTCTACGATGCCGTTCGCCCATGGGGCGGCTACGGCCGCCTTCCGATGCTTTATTTGTTGCGTTTCTGTGAATTCCTTAAAATCTCGCGACGTGAATGCCGTACCTCGGTCCGACACGACCTCCGATGGTCTGCCGAAGGTATCGAATATATTTTTTACTAAGCTAATCGTTTCCTTCGATCCCGTAGATTTCGTGGCATGCAGCCACGTGAACCGAGTGAACGCGTCGACCGCCACCAATATGTGCCGGAATCCGTCGGCGGACTCGGGCAACGGCCCGAGGTGGTCCACGTGCACCCCATTGGCGCCTCGGGAAGGGGGACGAGCTGAGTCTCGTCCTCGAATCGATTCGAGGCGCTATTCGCCGTCACGCATGTGAGGCAATTCCCCACGTAATCGTGGACGACTTTTCTCATGGACGGGAACCAGAAATTTTTCGAGATGCCCATGATGGTTTTTTCGGCTCCGCAGTGAGCCATCTCGTCGTGGTGAGCTCTTATTAAACTGGCTATCATTGAATCTGGTACCACGAAGCGTTTCTGGTTCTCGTCCTTCTTATAAACTAAGTCATTGATTAACTCGAATTTTTTATCCTCTCCGATTTCTAATTTTTTACTTGTCTCCAAAATTTTAGGGTCCGTTAGCTGCCGCAGCTCTAACTCCCGCTCGAGAGGTAGCTCGTGCACATAAGCCGTACATCGACTTAAGGCGTCCACATGGGACATGCGCTTGCCTGGGCGGTGAGTTAGGTAACTTAAACCTATAATTTTGGAGAGCGAGCGTTCATCTCGCTATTCGCGGGTTGAGGTTCGCCTTATTCACCGCGTACACTATCGCGTTACAATCTGTAACCACGGGGAACTCCAACCCGTAAAGATATAGATGGAAACGCTCGATTGCCCTGACTATTGCCAGCATTTCGAGCTCATAGCTGTGATACCTGTTCTCAGCTTGATTCGTGCTCTGGCTGTAATAGGCTACCGGGGACTACTGACCGTTCTTCTGCTTTTGCAGGAGAATTCCTCCTAAGCCTGTGCTACAGGCATCCGTATGCAATTCCGTCGGCGCGGCCGGATTGTATAATTGGAGCACCGGGGGTGACGTTAACTCCCGCTTTAGTTTTTGAAACGCGTCGACACAGTGGTCGTCGAAAACGAATGGTACGTCCTTTTTTACTAACTCTTGTATGGGCTTCGCAATCTGCGCGTACCCCTTAATAAATCTCCTAAAATAATTGGTTAAACCGAGGAATCTCTGAACCTCTAATACCGTGCGTGGTTGCCTGAAATTTTTAACCGCTTCGGTATGCCTCGGGCTTAACGTTATTCCGTCCGCGGATATTACGTATCCTAAAAATTCTATTTGTTTTCTCAAGAACTGGCACTTCTCATAGTTCAGTTCGAACCCATATTTTTTCAGAGTCCAAAGGACCGTTTCGACGTCTTCAAGATTCTCTTCGGTCGACCGCGAGGCTATCAACACGTCGTCCATGTACACGAGTACCTTATCGTCGCGGAGAAGCGGGTTAAGTATTTGCACCAGCCGCTTCTGGAACTCCGCGGGCGATTCGCAAAAACCAAAAGGTAGTCTGTTAAATTCATACTGCCCGTCCGGCGTCGCGAACGCGAAGTATTTCGTGGAATCTTTATGTACTCTAATTTGGTGAAAACTATCTTTTAGGTCTAAGAGTGTGAAAACGGACCTGTCGGTTAACCTGGCCAGGCACTTTTCAATAACTGGGAACGGGTATCGTTGCCGCTCGACTCGTGCGTTTAGCGGTCTCAAGTCGACGCAGAGTCGCATTTGCCCGCTCCTCTTACGGACTGGCACTACCCTAGCACAGTACGGGGAGGTGCTAGTTTTCACGATTCCGCGAGCCAGCAGGTCATCTATGATGGCCCTGATTTGTAGACGTTCCGCGTAAGCAAATCGCCTCGGTGAGAAGGAATATGTCGAGTTGTCTTTTAGCCGGACCTGAACTTCATAGTCGTCCTCTACCGGTACGTACTCTGTTTTGTGGACGCCTATTATTATGTCCTTCAACCGTTGCCTATCTCTGTATTCTAAATCGCGGACTTTATTTTCTAGTGTTTCCTCTAAGGCCTCTGGAAACTTCGACTCGATATACAAGGGCAATTGGGCAAACAACCTAACGCTCTCCTTCTCACCTTGGCTCGACGGTTTGAAAATCAAGGTGAGTTTCTGTTGCTGCAAGAACTCTCTTCCCAAAATAATATCCCCTTCGAATGTGTTATCTTTGAGGACATGTAAATTTACCGCGAGTCCTTTGTTCGCGATTTGTTCCAAACTCAGCTTGACCTTCGCCGTTCCTATGATCTCTAACGTTTAATCGCTTAAATTCCTAAGCCGACTTTTATACGGGGCTAACTCTAAATTTGACGGTTTTACCCACCGCTCATAAACGCTAAATTTCGCGAATGACACAGGGCTTCCTGTATCGACCAATGCTAGCAAGTTACATCGCTCACCGTTGATGTCTTTTACTCCTACCAGAGGATCGGTGACCTCGAGGCGGTTCCCTGGCTGCTCCACCGATGCTACCACCTCGTCTGCCGATGACGGCTCCTGCATCACGCTCGCTGCTGCCCTGACCGTTGCTGACGACGTTCCCGGCTTCTCATCCTTCCGCTTCAGAGCCGGACATTCGAACCGCCGATGCCCTTTCTTTTTGCAGTAAAAGCAGCTTGGCTCGGCTTGGCAGTCCTTTGTCAAATGGCCCTTACCTCCGCAGTTTCTGCATGGACCCTCCTTGGGCTTAGCGCTCGTTCCAGGCAGCGTCGATTTCCGCTCCGTGTCCACTACCCCTTCCGCGATGACTCTCATCCTCTCCAGGAAGCGGTTTAGCGGGTCTGTGGCCATGGCTGTTCGTGATTCCGCCAATCAGGAGCTGAATGCTATCTTCCTCCGGTAAGTTGAGCACTTGGATAAGCGCTAACTTCTCTATTGCGTATCTGTCAAATGACTCTTTGCCCGGCTGCCACTTCCGGGCTTCGATTTTCTGCATGGATTTGTAGAACGGTACCTTTCTCTCAAACATCTTCTTCATCTCTAGGCACAGTCCAGCCCAGGACTCTATGGCTGCTCCCGTCTGGAGCTCGTACCACCTACGAGCGGATTTGGTCAGCCTGCTCGAGGCTGCCAAGAGCGTGGCCCCGTCCGACGCTCCGTGAACTTGGGCGACCTTGTCCACCCGATTCGCCCAAGCTTGGATGTTGTCATCCTCTCCTCCAGCGAACTCCGGTATCTGCTGCGAAAGGTAGTTCACCAGATTTCCTATCGGTAGACTGCTTCCGGAACTTTGGGCCGCCAACGGGCTGCCTATCGGAGTCGTGCCTGACTCCGTCCGCGCGGCTTCCGGGGGTTCGTCTCTTCTTGTCTGGTTGGTATTATTCATCGCTAACAGCATCAACCGCTCGAATTGCTCCTGTTGAGCCGCTCTCTGCCTCTCGAACTGCTCGTGCTGCCTTTTTTCAGCTTGTTCCCTCTTTCTTCCAGCCTGCTCCAGCATTCCCTGAACGGACTGCAGAACTTGTTGCAGCAGGATCGCCGGAACCTGCTCGACGGAGCCTGTCGAGCCTTTCCTTGGTTTACCGGTCGCCGAAGCCTTGGCTGCTTCATCTTGCAAGTCATGCGGCCCTTCTCAAGGTGCCGCATGATGTTTTGGATTAGCGTGTCACGGTCACCCGTAACGGACAATCCGTATTTACTTGCCTCTTCCTTCAATTGTTCCAGGGAGAGGCCCTCAAATTTAGCTTTCTCCATAGCTAAATTACTGCGGGTTTTTACTATACGGCCCGAAGGTTCTCTCAGCCCTCTTTGAGGCGGGAAGTGAGTGGGAATCCCACTTCTGAAAACTGTAAGGATATTACTAAGGAAATCAGGTGGGGCGGTTTTGAACCGAGAGAACTAGTTTGATTCGTAGCACTGATAAACTATGTATATATTTAAACAAATAAATTGAACAGTTACAATATTTTACAGATTCAATTTAACACCGACTCTAGGACGACGGATTCTTAAGACTCGCGCGCGAGACTATTTCGATCAAGTGACTCTCGAGATTCTCCTTGCTTTGGCTTGCTTCCGCTCGGGATCTCTTCTCGGAGGAGAGTGAATCCCTTTTCGCGCGCGTGGAGTCCGTGCGCTCGCTCCGCGTCGCCGCGCATGCGTTCTCGTATCGCCCGCTAAGAGGGGCCGCTCGGACGCGCTGGTAGCGTGCCGCGCGCTCAGCTGTGCTCGCCGCGGCGCGCAGGCGCGTTACCGCCCGATACCTTACAGCTTATCGATCCGCTCGTCAGCGCTCAAAGGAGCTTTAGGACGAGTGCCTTTGGATTCTTTCGGCGCGACCAAGGCGACTGCGGAACTGGGACCGTTGATATCCGCGAGTTTATCCGCGATTTCTGCTAATTTTTGCAGATCAGGTTCGTTAGTTGCAACCAAAATGTCTTTATGCGTGTCGGGTAACAACTCAATAAAGAGAGATCTTAATACGGCAGGACTGCATTGCCCACCGTTGAGCTGATTCATCTGACTTAATTAGTGAGAGGGCCTCCGGTCCCCCAGAACCTGACCCTTCAGCAATTGCCGTAAACGGGCCTCCGGTGAGACCGCGAACGTCGCGAGAATCCTGTCTCTGAGCGCTTTGTACAGGTTATCGGGCGGTGGTTCCGCCGTAATCAAATCTCTGATATGCGAAATGACCTCGGGATCGAGGCTAGCGATAAGGTGATCGACTTTAGTACTATCGACGGTTATATTCGCGTTTCTAAACGACGCTTCAACACGCAAAAACCAATCTTCCGGGGCCTGTCGCCAGAAGGGCGGAATTTTGGGATTGGTAGGAGAAAAATATTAAATCGGTTTGGGATACAAAACACGTGATTATTCACTTTAATGAAAATACTAACTGAACGAACAAAGAGCTATATAAGGAACTATAAGTATTCGCGGTGATCGACACTCAGCTCAGCTCACGACAAGAGTAGCTTAACGACTGACCTCCGACGTAGGACGAAGAATTCATCCGTTACAGTTCACTCGCCTTCCAGAACATTCCACCCAATCACACGCAATCGCACAATCACGCATGCTCCTTACAAGACCGGGTAATTTGACCAGAAGGGTGATTTGACAACAAGTCTCCCAAACCAATGCATTATTCAACACGGAATCTTAGGCACCCGGTACGATTCTACGCGCGCGTCTTCTTCCGTCATATTTAAGCTATGTGACGCGTACCGCGAACCGAGAAAAAATGAGAAGAAAGAAAAGAAACTGAGGAGAAATACCAGGACGAGGCAAAGCATATGCCTCAACGCTCTCGAAGTTCTGGAAGCGGCGTCGTCCCTCGCAGGAGGTAGAGCCCGGACTCGAGACGTCGGCGAGAGGAGGCAAACTGCACTGTCCTGCGTTCCGCCGGACGGCGGTGTCGGCTGGATGCGCTGCCAGGGGCGTGCCTTGATGCCTGCGTTGCGTGCGCGCCGGGGGCTGTATGCGCTACGTGTTCCGAAGTTATGGTCCTCGACGCGACGGGATGGTCCCGCGCGCTGCCGGTATGGCTCGCTGGTGCGAAGATGTCCGCCGGGATGGCTGCGCGGGATGCGCGCCCGCCGGGATGACTCACTGGCGCGAAGATGTCCGCCGGGGTGGCTGCGCGGGATGCGCGCCCGCCGGGATGACTCGTGCGTGCGTAGGCGTCCGCCGGGATGACTGCGCGGAAACGCGCGCCCGCCGGGATGACGCGTGCACCGACCTGGGTGTACGCCTCAGGTTTTTGCTTCGGCCGCGTCGCCGGGAATCTCTCAGGATGAGGTCCCGACGGCTTAAGTCCGAGCGCGGAAAACGGCCGATCTTCTTGCGTCACCAAAAATGGCCTCCGTCCAGTCGCCTCTCTTGTATGCCGCCGATGCAAACGTGAACGCGCGAATGCGCGATCACGTCGGGGTCACCACTTGTGGGCTTAGATAGATTCAGAAGCCCCGGCAGCAGAGTGGCCAGAGCGAGGACGAGAGTCACGCGAGAGTCGCGTGGTAGGGATGACGCACACAATGACAAAGCACGTCTGTTAGCGCTGGGAGCTTCGGGCCGCCTCGGCTAAATAGACGGAGATAGCCACATATGTCTCACTCTTTCTCTCGCGCTGCGTTCTCGCTCGCTGCTCGCCCGGCTCGCCGAGCTGCTAGCCGCCAGCCGGTAATAAAGAACACTGAACAGGGCCTCTATTCTTGAATTCATTCGTAAGAGAAACGTATGCGCAAATTATGTTCTTACAGAAAAGTTGCAAATTGATTAGCTATCGTACAGTTTTAGCCAATAAACTTGCAGCTCTTCCGTTAGAACAGAATTTGCGCATACGTTTCTCTTTACGAATGAATTCAAGAATAGAGGCCCTGATATAAGAAAAATTTCTATTGCGCGAAACGCGCAAACGAATATT